CTTTGTGTACTGTATTTGCTTATTGGTTCAGCGTAATAAAAATCCAACTACCGTATTAAATATTTCCACAGATTATGAAAAGTGAATAAGAGTGAATTGTTGCTCTGGGATTCACCTGTGAAGATCTGTATGAAGCCAAAGAGGATGATGATGATCAGTGCGAGCAGCTTGGAGACAGTGAACAAGTCTTGGGCCTTGGTGGCGGCTCTCACGCTGATGCAGTTGACAAAAGTCAGGGAGGCTGCAAGAGGGGAGGAGTGATGAGAGACTGAAAGCTCTTCTCCAAAGTCAAAAAGTGTGAGCGGTTTGTAGATTTTTTTCAAATCTGTACTTTTCTGCGGCATTTCATTTTCATTTTTTTTTTTTATTTATTCCCTACATTTGAAAAGAGATTCTCTTTACTTTATCAGCATATGCTTGTTGCTTTTTTTCAACGGCTCCGGATCACGACACGATGTGCAAAAGATGTAAATGGAGAGCGCTAACCGTGGTTGAGATACTAAAAGTTCTTAAACACTTACAAAGCGGGAAAAGAAATGGGACAAACTTCTCATCAAAACCGATTACAGTTGTCTGTTTTGATGCTCCCTCTTCCCATTTTATACTTTATCTCACTGCGCAAGTGCAGACTTGAATTGGGAAAGCGGCAGCAAAATAAACTCGTTGGCGCGGTTGTAAGTGTGGAGCGGAAGAGATGAGGAGGTGAAAGGAAAGCAAACTTTTTTTTTTCACAACTACAAAGAGAATGCAGTGGGGAACAAGTGGAAAGTGACAAGTGATGCTTTTCATCACGAAAACGTGAGTATGAAATCGGTCAAAATAATCATGTGTTGATTAAGGGTCTTTATTAATTCCAGAAAGAGTGTCATTAGAAGGATTTTTAAGGATTTTATCGACGTTAGGAAATTGGAAAAGATGGTGACAGTTACATGACCATATTTGTCACCTCACATTTTTTAGTTGAGGATATAGACATTTATATTTACATTCTGGTGAGAAATATTCACGAGACGGTGACAAAGGGTAAAAATATGGTTATGTAACTGGGAACTTAAGCTAACAGATTGAATTTTTCTAGCCATGGACATCCCTTAATTTAGTACTTTTTTTTCGACTCTATTCACAACATTAGCAAACCGTTGTTTGAGTAGCTAGTTCGGAACAACACCTAACTGGCGCATCTTTTGTTTTTGCTCAAGTTAACATTCACATGTGAGTTAATAAAAGAAGAAAACTATGTGTTTTTTTGTGCCAAACTATTCAAATTGACGATCGGTCATGGCCGCCGTCAAACGAGCTTGGCGCTCACGCTCGGCATCGGTGCAAACAAGCTGAGGGTCGTCTGCTCGGCTTCACTCGTTAGTGATCGTCAACAGTTTGTGCATCATTAGCGACAAAAATACAAAGACTCCCTGTCGATGTTATCAAGTGTTAGACCTGACCGTGGCTTTGCATTTGACATTTAAAATATAAAAAAAAAAAAAAACATAATAGCACAATAGATTAAATCAGAGATGATTCACTTGCTTCTCTGCCTTCCTTCCACATTCACAAAAACATGCACTTTAGGTTTTCTGACGAGCCTAAATTGTCTAATAGGTGTGAATGTGCACCTGAATGCTTGTTTGTTTAAATGTGCCCTGTGACTGACTGGTGAGCAGTCAGCTGTGATGCACTCCAGCTCACCTACGTCCTTGAGAAGAATCAGCACGATAGAAAATACATATATGGATGGATGGTTAGAGTCGCTTCAACTCCCATGTTGATGCTCAGAAAGCCACATCCATCTTAATGAACAGCGACAAGAACACATCGATGACTATTTCACAGCCATTTGAGAACTGGAGCCTTACAGTATTAATGCTCTGGCAAAACTTCGACACAAACAAGTGCGCGTGACTTGATAAGAATGTGGAATTTTCGAAAGCCATTCATCCAAACATTTTCTAATCTGTTTATCCTCTTGAGGGTCATAGGTGTGCTGGAGCCTATCCCGGCTGTCTTTGGCCAGTAGGCCGGGTCCACCCTGAACTGGTTACCACCCAACCGTGTGGCACACCGAGACAAACAACAACTCACGCTCACAATCATACCGAGTGACACTTTTAGAGTGTTCCATTAAACTGCCACGTATGTTTTTGGAATTTGTGAGAAAACATGAGTACCCGCATAAAACCCACACAGGCACGGGGTGAACATGCAAACTCCACAAAGGATGGCCGGGGCCTGGAATCGAACCGTGCAACTCTGCACTGTGAGGCAGACATGCTAACCAGTCGATTGCCGTGCCGCTGAAAGCCAAAGGGAAAGAAATTCATTTCATGTGATGAGGAAAGCAGTATCTCCGAACTCCCTGCTCATTCCAATGAG